TTCTTTTGATTACAAACTCATTCTTGATATAATAAAGTAATATAAAAATTTTAAAAACTTCATTATATATTATATTGAGTGAAATTATTATATGATTTATAATAAATTATTCTGAATTCAAGTTTATTATATTATATTTCAATTAGACTTCATTATGAGTCATATTATATCAAGAGTATCTTTATATATTTCATAAATTTTTAATTGGATTTAAGTCTGGACTACAAGATAACCAATCAATAACTTCAGAAATATTCAATTTAAGGTAAGACTTTTGCAGATGACTCATATATTTTGAATTATTATCCTGTTGAAATCTTTATTTTCTTTTCAAAAGAGTATTAATTTCTACAATAATTTTTTAAAATATCTACACAAAATTTGGCATTTATTATTCTTCTAAAACAAAATAAATCAACTTTATTTATTTTACAAAATCCACTCCACACAAAGGTTTGTCTTGATCCTTATGCTACTGACCAATTGTGTTATGAAAGAGTTAAAATGCAGTTTTATTAGTAAAAAAAGCTTTGTTTCAATTGTTATTCATGTGTTTTTTGGCCCACTCCACCTGTTTCTCTTTATGTTGCAAGGCAAGCATTGGCAAAGTTTTTGGGACATCATTTTTATAGTCGTGATCTCACAAATGTCTTAAAACAGTCAGTTGAGATATTGTTCCACCTCAAAATTCTTGTGGATTTTTTGGATTTGCCACCTGATTTTTTGTGACTTCTCGCGAAATTACCTTTGGACGACACACCCCTTTTGACTGTGTTACTTTTCTGTTTTCCCAAGCTTTTTTAGGTTGTAATAGATAGTTAATATTGGCATTTTTGTTGCTATATGCTCCGGTGATATAAAACCAAAATCTCAAAATGCACCAAATCGATCCCCATCACCACTTTAAATGGAGATAAATTAGAACATTATCATTATGTCAAAAAACTGGTTTGAATACAACAAATATTTCCAAATTCTAAAAAGAAATTAAGGCAATTTCTAAGCAAGAAACCAATCAAAAATATACCATTACACATTCAGACATATATTAAAAATTAGTTTAGGCTAACAAGATATCAAATATTAGCTGTCACTTATAATAATTATTAAATTAATAAAGTATTTAGTGACTTTCGCCGAGTGTACTTTGTTTATATAGACTTAGTTTTATTAGATTTATTTATCAGTCGTTCCGTTTGATCATTTTTTTATTTAAGATATTGAAAGAACTTTATTCTTTTAAAGACGCTTACGATTTACTTTGCATTTATTGAGCAAATCAGAATAAATAACGTATAATATTCTGATAAAATAACTTCTGCACAACAGAATATCGAATGTTTCGTTTTTTAAGTTTTTTGACAACTACTGATCGTCGTCTAATTAAAGGAAATGGTCGTATTTAATTTATTTAAAATGTAAAGCTAAATTGCTGTTTCTTTACAACCACATGTAATAGGAATTCGTTATTTTATATATATACTCGTTCGCTGGAATCAAAATAAATTATAGCACGCGTCTAATTTCATATTAACGTCAAAAAACTATATTTGTGCTAAGAAATCATATTACTTTCGGAGATTAAGCTGCTCTAAAATTTTTACCGGTCGGAATAAGCGTGCAATGCTCGAAGGGAAAGAAGACTTAATTTTGTCAGAAGATACTATTGTTTGATACAAAAACCCAGTTGTTAATCCAATAAGAAGACAAATATGTAGAGAAAATAACGCACTTTTATATGAAGTATGAATCTTCAACCGTATATTCCATTTAAAAAAAAAATTAACATCAGAGGATAAAATTGAGGCCGGCTCAAGCAAATTATACAAGTTTTATATTGTGAGATATTGATTATGTTTATTTTACAAAAAAATATTCGAGAGAATTGGCTTCATATACTCGACAATTTGTTTCAAATTGTCATATGCAATGTAAAATAGCATGAGTATATATTCACGTAATATGTAATTTGACATTATATAATAAAAATCCTATTATATGTACATGTATATGCATTATTATTACATGTATATGTGCTATTATTATGATGCAAGCAAGCTGATCTCCTTCTATAGCATAAGAGTCTCTTGCTGACAATATCAGTAGTATTAGTGGTTGTATTGCCAATTATAGCAATTTTATCGTCTTCTCTCTTGAACATATTTCCCTTAAAGTATAATAAGGGTGCATATATCGATATGCTATTTTTATACTAAGCCAATCAAAACACATCCACTTAATCAATTATTGACCAATAGGAAAAGATTAAATTTATTAGCCAATAAAATATGTTACACATGACAAAAATTTTAAATGTTTATAATTTTTGAATCACACATTGTTTGTTATCAAATAAAATCCTAAATTTAAGCCAGGATTATTCTTATTAGAGTTAGTACGCAAAATTTGCTGAATTATCAAATCAACTACATAAATTTATTTGAATTTAATAATTATACGTATACAGTAATTACATATGTGTGATAAAATCTTAATATTAACACTGCGCAACCCCGCTATTTGGATTGTAAATGCCAGTAAAAGACACCGTATTACGAATACATGTAGCCCCACCAGAGGTTTGCACATTTACGCGAAAAGAGTAAGTTCCAGTTGTTGGATTTGGGCCAAGATCCAAATTAAAGTTTGGCGTATAACCTTGAATAGCAGGATCAATCGAACCACTCCACTGTGTTTTTACAAAATTCCCGCTTGCATCAAGTAGATCTACTGACGTTACATGAAGAGTACCGGCTGCGTTGTTACCGGCATCAAATGAAACTTGGTAGCATTGCCCTAGTTAGTTAGAAGAAATAGATCAATATGATTAAAATTAATCAAAACAGGTTTGTAAACCAGGATTTTATTTGTTTATCCACCATTAGTCCATTGAAGACCGCCTTGAGTTGGCGAAGTAATGCGAAAGCCACCACATGCGTCTTGTCGTTTATCAAACGGTGCTGCAAAGATAGATGAAACAAGCAAGACGAGTACGAAAATAAAGGTTCTCATTTTTTTATTATTATGTAAATTTAATCGTCAGTGAGGTGAAATCTCAAGATAAGAAGTTGGAATTTGCAAAAGTGAAGTTTTGTAAGGAATCCTGCCATCTTTTTATAATGTTTTTTTCTGAATATTTTTCAGTTTGCGTGAGTAAATGTATTTTTAGAATTACATAAAAATTATTTTAAGAAAATGAATTTTACATATATATTTCATATTGCTCATTCGAGAAAATCATTATCATGCTTTCGGCTTATTAGATCGGAATAGTTAGTTTAGTTTAAGAGGCGAAGTTATTGGGCTTAGGAATTTTTTATTATTCATTTAGGGATTAGTTTAACTAATTAATTCATATCAGATATAATTCATATGACGGTGAATGATCATATTGTTTCTGAAAATAGGTAGTTTATTTTTATCGTAGATTTCCTCCCATTTATTACATAATAAGTCTCGTTTTTTTACACGTCATAGGGGTAATTGAAAGTAAAGCGAATGGTAATTTGTTGTGGTTGTGGTGGCTTTAAAGAAAAGATTACGGATTTATATTTACTTTAAAGAAAATTTTAATTCAAAGAATTATGAGAAATCCTTAAAAACACACAAATAACTAGTAAAAAAAAAACGCCATAAAAGGGTGCTTGCAGGCAAGTTTCCCAGAATATATCAAAAAATAAAAAACACGCTTTATCTGACAAGCACATTCCCAAATAAAAATGAAAACCTTTATTACTGTACTCGTTTTAATTATTTCCTCGGTTTTTGCCGTACCTTATGCATTTATAGAAAGACAAGACGCTTGTGATGGATTCCGCATCACTTCACCAACTCAAAGCGGTCTTCAATGGACTAATGGTATGTAAACATTCACATAATTATATCTATACTTTAATCTACGATGCAAAAAATCCCCACTACCTTTCAAAAAATAGGACAATGTTACCAAATCTCATTCGACGGTGGAAACAGTCCAGCCGGCACTTATAAAGTAACATCAATCGATCTTATTGACACAAGCGGAAATATCATACAGCAACAATGGACTGGTTCAGTGGATCCCGCTACTCAAGGCTATACGCCAAACTTCAATTTGAATCTTGGCTCGTCGCCTAAAAACGGAGATTACAAGCTACGTTTGTATATACAGAAAACTGATGGTAGTGCTACGTGCAATCGTGACACGGTCACTTTTACGGGAATTTATAATCAAAATAGCGGATTTGACAAATGTCCTTAGTGTTAGATTTTGTTTAAGCATTCTTGTAAATATAATCAACTAAATAGTTTTCATCAATAAAATGAAATTTGTCTTTGCCGAGATAGCAATTGGTAATAACAAATAAATATTAATTAGCGATACATGTATTAAGACACGACATAGTTCTGATAATTGATTGTGAAATGACAAGTTTGATATGTTAATCTATGAATTAATTTTATATCTCTTAAAAAAGTTCACTAACATCCAAAAATATATAAACTCTATTACAACATTATCTATCAATATGCTATTTTGATTTCTTTTGGTAAAACGCTGAGAATTTCAAAAAAAACCAGAAGATATTTTACTAAGAGCTGAAAATTTAGATTTTTAAAAATTTTTTTATATAATTTGACAAAATCAGATTTTATATTACTAATAAGTTCTCATATTATATTTTATTAATAAAAGCTTGTTCTAAATAAAAGCTATAATAATTATATTCAGATAGTAATATTAGGATATAACAAAAAAATAAATATATAATATGTTATATATATCATGCTGATAAACAATCTCTGAATTGATAGTACAACTAACAATATGTTTATCTTTATATTAAAGTAAAGATGATAATCTATATTTTAACATATATATTTTATATTTTGTTAGTTTAATTGAAAAGTTTTCTAATTGCATGATTATTACAGAAATGATTTTAAATATTATGAATTATTAAAATTAATTAATTAAAAAACAAAATAAATATATAATATAAAAATTTAAAATAAATAAATATACTAACTAATAAAAGTAATATATTAAAAGATTAAATTAATATAATATAATAAAAATTAAAAATTTATTTTTTTTTTGAAAGAATTATTTTAATTATATAAATTCATTATAAAAATTTTTTCTAATTAAAAAGAAATTTAATTAAAAAAAAAGTTTGCAAAGTTTTATAATACTTTTAGAAAAAATTTGAAAATAAATATATTAAATTATAAATTATATATAATAATTCTTATAATTATAAATCAAAAAATTAATTTTATTAATAAATATAAAAATTTTTTATATTAAAATTTATAATTTTATTAGAAATAATTTTTATTTTTAATATAAATTATAATTTAATATATATTCTTTTTAGATCTTTTTCTAAAAGATTATTTAATATAAAATAAGAATTATTTCTTAATAAAATTATGAATTTTAATATAGAAAAAAACTTTTAATAAATTTAATTTTTAAATATATATTTTTTGATAATTATTACAATTATTTATTTTAAAAATTAAATATATTTTAAAATATTTATTTATTAAGTTATTTTTTATAATTATTATAATTTATTATTAAAATATTCTATATATATTAATTTTTATAAATTAAAATTATAATTTATTA